AGGGCCTAAACCGGCAATCGGACATCCCTCTCACAGTCCTGACCACTGGCTCCTAATCGTTCACCTGCCTGCCTGCCTGCCTGTTCGCCCCTAATTGCCCCCCACCCCCTGCCGGCCTGATTGCCCCCTCACTGCCTCTGCATGCGGCCTGATTGCCCCTAACTGCCATCCCCTGCCGGCCTGCCCGCCCCTAACTGCCCCCTTCCTGCCAGCCTGGTCACCCCTAACTGCCCCCCCATGCTGTCCTGGTTGCCCCCCGCTGGCCTGGTGGCCCTTCACTGCCCCCACTGCCGGCCTGGTCGGCTACAACTGTCTCCCCCTGCTGGCCTGGTCGCCCCAAACTGCCCGCCCCCTGCCTGCCTGGTCACCCCCCAACTGCCCCGCCTGCCAGCCTGGTCGCCCCACACAGACTGCTGTTCAGTTGTTTGTTGTCCCTCACTAACCCTCCCACCCCTGCTGGCCGGGTCACCCCACGCAGCCTGCTGTTCAGTCATTTGGTTGTCCATCACTAACCCTCCCTCCCCTGCTGGCCTGGTCACCCCACGCAGCCTGCTGTTCAGTCGTTTGGTTGTCCATCACTAACCTGGTCACCCCATGCAGCCTGCTTGTTCAGTCATTTGGTCGTCCCTCACTAACCCCCCAGCTGGCCTGGTCGTAGGCAGCCATCTTGTGAGGGTGTGAGGATTAATTTGCATATTACCTCTTTATTATATAGCATGCTAGTATAGGACTAGTGGCCCGGTGCATAGATTCGTGCACATTGAAAGGAAATTAATTAGAAGAAATATTTTAATATTGCTATTCTCCCTTTCTCTATAATAGAAGTGTCAACCAAATTCACAATCGACAATGACAGATTAAAACACGCATTCGATTGGCGCCCGTGAGAGTTTTATATGTATCGCGCATATGCGAGTCAACTTAGCCTTTTATATATATAGAATAAACTTGCTTAATTAGATGTGCTTTCTGATGTAGCTAAAATTTTTTCAGCCCAGTGAAGCACCCCAACTTCTCTTTCAGGTAATTGTCAGCAACACAGCAGTAAATACCAATACAAAGTAGATTATTATTGTAGATCATGCAGGGAGAACAAAGGGTAAAATAACTACAGCAGTGTTTGACTATATTCTGCACAGTGAGAAAACCTGAAGTCATTTTCAAGGTCCATCATTTCTTCTTTTCAGTCAGGTCAAGTTTCTAAACTTTCTAAATCTGTTTTCTGGCTAATGAAAATAAAATAGGATTCTATCGAGTCTCCTATCTACCTACTCCAGGACTTCTGTGAGGATCAAATGAGATGAGGCATGGGAAAACGCTTCACAGACATTTGGTTAAAGTATAAAATGTTTGCACCTGGCTATAAAGCAAGTTGTGTTCCTGGGCTGAAGAAACTCCAAGGAGGCTAGTCACTAGGGAGAGGAAGCTGGGCGTTACTATGTGACGTCATTACCTGGCATCCACAGCTACCATTTCTGGGCTGGGCTGGGCTGTGGGCTGCATTTTGTGCCGTGGGGTCTTGGCAATGTTGGCTGCAATTTGATGGGTTGTTGCTCTGGGGTGGATGCGGGGCCTGTGTCCCACTTGGGGGAAGCCGAGTGTTGCTTTGTCAGCACCAGGACCGCAGTGCTGTTTCTTTGTAAATGGCCAGTGCGCGTCAAGGCAGCTCCTGCATTGAGCATCTGCCTCCTGGTGGTCAGTGTGCATCATAGCGACCGGTTGGGTGGACAATTTGCATATTAGCCTTTTTTATATATAGATACCTGAAACTTATAAACCAATGTTAACCTCTACTTTTTTGAAAGAGAGTGGGCAAGGAAAATTGGTCAGGGTTTTCAAGCCATCTATTGGGAAAGATTACCTTAGACCAGGGGTCCTCAAACTACGGCCCACGGGCCACATGCGGCCCGCCGAAAACATTTATCCGGCCCACCGGGTGTTTTTGCCGCCACTGTGTGCGTAGGAATTTGTTCGTAGTTTTTTTTTTTAATGATAGTCTGGCCCTCCAACAGTCTGAGGGACAGTGAACTGGCCCCCTGTTTAAAAAGTTTGAGGACCCCTGCCTTAGACATTCAAATACCTGGTTCTGGTTTCTACCAACTTCAGTGTATCTGTTTGTGTCCTTGGGATTTACTTGAACTACTTTAACCTGTTTGTATAACTGTCCATTGAAGAAGCCAGAATAATGGTGGCATCCCAACTCCATTCAGCTCTAGGTTATTAAGTTTTATCATATACGTTTACTGCTCATTAATATAATTTATCTCAAAACTTAGAACACTGTGCTGTATTAAATTTGTATATCTTGCTGTGTAGTTTTCTGAAATACTAGTACTTTTGTATAATTAGTTGAGTGACAGATATTCCCACCCTCTACAACTCCTGGTATTTTCATTTACATTCGCAACATGAGATGTTGATCAAGTTATCCAAGACATTGTTACTGTGGAGTTAGGGCTTACTTTTTGATGTTCCATATAGCATTCAACTTTCCAGTCACTCTATCAGACTATATTTCAGAGGTAAACCACTTTAGAAGTAACACATGTCAAAATAACAATGTTTGGGAACCTGTAGCTAATAATATCTCACCTCTAAAACTGTTAACAGAGGACTTAGAGAATATGGAGAAATTGGAACCCTTATGCACTGCTGGTGGTAATGCAAAATGGTGCAGCTACTTTGGAAAATGGTCTTTCAAAATGTTAAACAGAGAGTTAACAGAGGACCCAGCAATTCTGCTTCTAGGTATATACCCAGGAGAATTGAAAATGTATGTCCACACAAAAACTTGTACAAAAAAGTTCATAGCAAAATTATAATAGCAAAATGGGGGGAAAACAAATGTCCATCAATTGATAAATGAATAAATAGGATATGATCTATTCATACAGTGGAATAGCATTCAGCTTTAAAAAGATGTCATGATATGTGCTACAACATGAATGCACCTTTAAAAACACAATGCTATGTTAAAGAAGCAGTCACAAAATACCACATGTGATTTCATTCATTCATTCATTCATTTATTTATTTATTTTTTCAAATATATTTTATTGATTTCTTACATAGAGGAAGGGAGAGGGATAGAGAGTTAGAAACATCGATGAGAGAGAAACATCGATCAGCTGCCTCCTGCACACCCCCCACTGGGGATGTGCCTGCAACCAAGGTACATGCCCCTGACCGGAATCGAACCTGGGACCCTTGAGTCTGCAGGCCGACGCTCTATCCATTGAGCCAAACCGGTTAGAGCCATTCATTTATTAAATCCTCTTTTTTCGCATTGATTTCTAGAAAGAGTGAAAGGAAGGAACCAGGGGAGAGAGAGAAACATTGATCTGAGAGAGACACATCGATTGGTTGCCTCCTGTACTTGCCCCAGCCACTGCCAGGCATTGAACCTGCAACCAAGGTACATGCCCATGATGGGCAATTGAACCCCGTGACCCATCAATCCATGGGCTGACGCTCTAACCGCTGAGCCAAATTGGCCAGGGCCACATATGATTTTATTAATATAAAAAGTTTAGAATAGGCAAATTGAGGGACAGAAAGTAAATTAATGGGGAACAGAGATGGGAGTGTAGAGAAGGAGAATGACTGCTTAATGACTATGGATTTTTTAGGGGGGAGATGGATAAAATGTTTTAAATATTGATTGAGTGATGGTTGCACAACTCTGTGAACATACTAAAACCCATTGAATTATACACTTTAAATTGGTGAATTGTATGATATGCAAATTATATCTCAATAAAGCTATTCTTTTAAAAAGAAAATTAAGAAACACTAAAAAATTCAGAGCTCTGGGTTCTGACTTTTCTCTGGTCTCCAGAAGATCTGTTTTCTTTCATTGGAATTTTTTGTTGGTGATGGTTACTCTTTTTCTTTGTTGTAACCAGAAAAGAATTGAATAGCTCTTATTTTACTGTGCACTACAGGAAGGAAGATTCCTCAAGCACATACTTTTTTTTTTTTTTTTTTTGCAAGAGCACCAATTAACATTAGTTTTTTTCAACCTACTACTTGAGTCTGTGACGTTTTGTGCCTAATCTCATATCTTAGGTATGGAAGTCATAGCCCAAGGGTATAGAAATTAAATTTTGCTTAGCACCTTTTAAGTGCTCACTTTATATATGAAATTGAGACTTATGGAGGTAAAGTAACTTAATTTTTTTTATCTTCTAGAAATAAGTAGCATTTCAAATCTATGTTTCTATGACTCAAAATGTTTCTTTCCAGTGCCTCAGTTATTTCCTACTAAGAAAACAACCCTAGATTTAAAGCTTTTGGAGAAATTCTTCATTTAGATTTCCAAGATGTAAAAAATCAAAGTGGAAGGGAAAATTATAATTAGCTTGTCTTTAATAATTTTGCTGCATTAGTAGAGAAAATACTACCTCTTGGCAGCTTTAGCACCTGAGTCATTAAGCAAAGCCAAGTATTTTAAAATTTTGAATCTGTCTATAGCATTAAGGGCAAATAAAAATGGGCACCTCTAATCCTTGCTATATTCAGACAACTGAGGCTTCCTGTTAGATGCTCTTTGTCTAATTCATCTTTCTCATATTTCTCCCTTTATAAGATAGACCAATTCAAGATAATGCATGTGTGACCTGAAGAACTTCCCATTCATAAGAGTTTTCCAAGAGGCAAATTTGGCATGAGTGTTAAAGCATCTGACTAGGAGCATGTGTTCACAAAAAGCCAGTCACAAAGGAATGTTTCTTTTTTGAGAGATGTAGGCTCTTCATAGACTATCCAGATGAGTGTAGTGTTTGGTTTCAGGTATCTCTACAGTAAGGACCTAATTGACTGGAGAGTATTTGTAGTTTCTTTAGTTTCTAGGAAGATACAGGGTAGGTTAGCTGAGTTAACTTTAAGCCTCCATGTATATGTTTATGATTCTTCTTAATACCTTCACCACCCCACCCTCTTTCCTTATGGACTATTTAAGGGACTTTATTCTGATCTCACTTGTATTTTTCTTTCCACAGGATGGATAGAATGACAGAAGATGCTCTTCGCCTGAATTTATTGAAACGGAGCTTGGACCCAGCAGATGAGCGAGATGATGTCCTGGCCAAGCGACTCAAAATGGAGGGGCATGAGGCCATGGAACGTCTGAAAATGTTGGCATTGCTCAAACGGAAGGATTTGGCAAATCTTGAGGTGTCTCATGAATTACCCACCAAACAGGATGGCAGTGGTGTCAAGGGCTATGAAGAGAAACTCAATGGGAATCTCAGGCCTCATGGAGACAATAGGATTGCTGGAAGGCCCGGCAAAGAAAACATCAATGATGAGCCTGTGGATATGAGTGCTAGACGGAGGTATGGCTTGGTTCAGCTGTCTTTAGGGATAGGGTTTTCTCATAAATTAAGCCTATGAAAATGGAATGAATTCCAGCGAGAGGAGGAGGTTTTACATCCTAACATATCTTTTTTTTTTTTGCCCTGGCCGGTGTGGCTCCGTTGGAGCATCTTCTCATGGACCAAAGGGTCTCAGGTTCAATTCCCAAACAGGGACATACCTAGGTTGCTGGTTAAATCTCTATTTGGGGCACTTGCAGGATCCATTTTTCTCTCTCCCACTCTCTTACTCCCTCTTTAAAAACCCATTAAGTAAATAAAAACATTTTAAAAATTATTTTTTAAAAAGTCTCCCCCCCATGTGTTTTTATTGATTTTTTTAAAAATATATTTTATTGATTTTTTACAGAGAGGAGGGGAGAGGGATAGAGAGTTAGAAACATCGATGAGAGAGAAACATCGATCAGCTGCCTCCTGCACGCTCCCTACACTGGGGATGGCCCCGCAACCAAGGTACATGCCCTTGACTGGAATCGAACCTGGGACCCTTCAGTCCGCAGGCCGACGCTCTATCCACTGAGCCAAACCAGTTCGGGCTTTATTGACTTTTTTATTTTTTAGAGTGGAAGGGAGAGGGGAAGAGAGAGAGAAACCTTGATTGACCAGCTGCTTCCCATACACCTCCTACCAGGGGTTGAGTCAGCAACCTGGGCATCTGCCCTGACTGGGAATGAACAGATGACCTCTTGGTGCTTGGGATGGCACTCAACCAAATGAGCCACACTGGCCAGACCTGAATGAAGACGGGGTCTGCCATATGGCTTGACCCTGAATTCCTCTCATTTCTAAATGAAACTAGGTACCTCAAAAATTTGCTTAGCATACAGAGAATCATAGTTTTAACCCTTAAGATAAAGTAGTCCCCTAACCGGGTAGCTCAGTTGGTTAGTGTGCACCAAAGTTCGATCCCTGGTCAGTGCACATGCAAGAGACAACCAATGAATGCATAAAAATAATTGAAACAGCAAATCAACCTCTCTTTCTCCCTTTCTCTAAAATGAATTTTTAAAAATTTTAAAAAAAGATAAAGTCATTTCTGGATAAAGGAGGCACTACAGTGTTGATACCCCAATTAAAAGTGAATTAATACACACTTATCTTCTAATCTGATGGCTAATTTAGGAGGAAAAAGCAGTCTTCAGATCATCCCAGGTGTTTTAGGATCTGTTTATTCTGGAGTCCCACCTTTTATTACATCAAAAATCATGGGTCCAACTTTTTTTGTGACAAATTATCTCCATGTGGTAATTCTCTACGTTCTTGTTTTATTTGTGCCACTTTTCCCAACATATGCATACACATTGGCTTGTACATGTACACTCATGCTTGTGTTCTCGTTTTTTCACGCACACATAACAACACAAGCACACATTTTTACAGGCTTTTTTTCTGGTGTCTGTCAAGGTTGAGTACTTAAAACTGGAGCAAACACTGAGAAGAGGTATCTAGTACTGGCTGAGGGTAGAGTCTACCTTGACTGTGAATCACACTATAGACAAACCCTAGTTTTAAGAACATTCAGTTTGTTAGGTTTCAGAAACAGCTGATAGGCATGAGAATTACTCTTCAGTGTTCAGTTGCCTTCCAGTTGACCTAACTTTGTCCTAGCACTGATCCGAAGCAGGATCTTTAAGCTGGACTGATGGAGAAAGAAGAAAGGAATGGTTATAACCTCACCTGGATTTCTTTCTCTACGTTTTAATGTTTTCTAACTAGTATTATCCCAGGTCTATCTTTTTAAGAAACACCCAAGGAGGGAACATTATTCTTGGTATAGCATTAAAAACCCTTAGCACTCTGGCTGGTGTGCTCACTTGGTTAAGCATCATCCCATGCACCAAAAGGTCACTAGTTCGATTCCCGGTCAGGGCATATACCCAGGTTGTGGGTTCAATCCTGGAGGCACCCAATCGATGTTTTTCTGCTCTCTCCCTTCCTCTCTCTGAAAAACCAAGAGAAACTTTTTAAAAAGCAACAACAAAAAACCTTAAGAAATTTCAGATAAATTTTCTAGTGGTCCTGGAAGAGAAAAAAATCCTTGGAAGCTATAGGTAGTGTCAGTAGAATATTATGAAAATAGGTTAATCCTCAGATCCTTTGGGAAAAAAATAAAGTGAGTGAATGAGATCATGTACCTGAGCAATCCACTTGCCCCATAATCACTCTTACCCTTCTGGAGCTAGTGACTAATTATATTTCATTGGGGAGGAAGAAGAGGAAAAATGTTAGGCGGATTTCTCACATCTTAAATTGGAATTGAAAATGCATTTTTCTTAGAAACATTGTTACACATTTTGGTAAAATCTCATCAATGGTATTGGGATTATACAATATCACAGATAAATTCTATGTTAAAAACTCAGTTTATCCTAACAACCCTACCATTGCTTTTAATTTTATTTTAGAGGAATGATCTTTTGGAACTTGATCCTCTAGAAAATTGGAATATTTTTTAATGGTCTCCAAGGAAAAAGGCTTGAGTGAACCCTCTAGAACCCTATTCTACATGGAAAAGTGGGCCCTATTGGCCCATGTCTCTTCACCAGATATACTGACAGCTATTTCTACTTAGCCCCAAGGTTTCTATAAGAACAAGTAAGATTAGCCCAGTTGGCATGGCTCAGTGGTTGAGCTTCAACCTATGAATCAGAAAGTCATGGTTCGATTCCCAGTCAGGGCACATGCCCGGGTTGCGGGCTCGACCCCCAGTGTGGGCAGTGCAGGAGGCAAGCAATTGATTCTCCCTCACCATTGATGCTATCTCTCTCCCTCTCCCTTCCTCTCTGAAATCAATAAAAACATATTTAAAAAAAATAATAAGATTAAAAGCAGAAAGAAGGACGTGCTCTTGGCATCATAGCTATATCATAATTGCCTAAGTATTTTTTTTTATCATTTGGGCAAGTTACATCTACTATGAAGTAAGGTGTATATATATGAAACCAGTACTGCTAATATTTTGTAATGCTAGACAGACATGGCAGTTTTCTTTCTGTTTAGTTGTTTTTACTGTGGAATTAATGATTAGGTATTTTATAGCTTCTGGGTATCTTTCAGTCTGAGTCATAGGTGATGTCAGCTGCAAGTCTAGCTTTTAATAATATTTCTGTAGCCGGTAGTGTTTCACACTTAGGAACATAAAATATTGTAAATCATATATATGTTGGGGAAAGTAGCCATTTCTGTCCCTAGAAAGTTTAATAAATGAGGCCAGAATCCCAGGTCTCAAAAGTTAATTAAAAATTTGAGGAATGAAATTTGACTTGAGCTTTGTCTTACCTATTGTGGGCCTAGCTATTATGGGTCTGATTATTTCTGGGAATAAAATATCATTTAGGGTTGTTCTCAGATATAACTTCTTGATAGATGCCACTCAATTGCAAAATCCCCATCCAGGAATGTCTCTGCTTGTGTTGTTGCTGGGGAATCCCTAGCAATAGGTAGGTGGCACTCATTTGAGCAAGGAAGAATTTCTTAACTTAGAAATATGTAGTGTGTGTATCCAGCAGGGACCAGAATGGAAAGAGCTTCAGACTGTTGATATAATAAACATTGGGAATCAAGTAGAAGAAGTAGAAATCTACCAGAGCTCAAAATTATTCAGCCATGTCAGTGTTAGAGATGGTGGGGAGATGAAAGAATATAAAAATGATAAAGTTGCCCAAAAAATGAATTCAACCCTAGCCGGTTTGGCTCAGTGGATAGAGCATCAGCCTGGGGACTAAAAGGTCCCAGGTTTCGATTCCCGTCAAGGTAACATATCTCAGTTGCAGGCTCCTCCCCTACCTGGGCCCTGGTCAGGACTCATGCAGGAGGCAATTGATGTGTCTCTTTCATATCGCTGTTTCTCTCTCTCTTCCCCCCTCCCTTCCACTCTCTCTAAAAATCAATGGAAAAATATCCTCAGGTGAGGATTAACTAAAAAAAAAAAATTTCAAACTTTATTTAGGCCTGACCATTACTCCAGGAATTAGGGGTTAGAGAATGAAAGGTTCTTTTTTCCCCTCTAGTGGCTTCATTTTCTGTAACTCCACAGTCTCACCTTGCTATGTCTGTGACTAGTGATTACACAGGAGACTTGAATAGTTCCCAAAATAGTAATTCCTTTTTTGTTTAATGTATTTTTTATTGATTTGAGACAGAAACAGAAACATAGATTGATTGCCTCCTATATGCACCCCAACCGGATTCTCAACCAGGGTATATATCCTGACCAGAAACCAAACCCGCCACCTTCAATGCTCCAACCAACTGAGCCACACCAACCAGGGCCCTAGATAGTCATTCTTGTTACTCTGTCCTCTTACTCTATTTCCTCAGCTAAATTTTGGTTGATTTTTATAACTTAGTTTACCCTGTAGAGAAATTGAATGCCTATCCCAACCATCCAGGGTGCGTAGTTTAAAAGGCACATGTTGTCAAGCCCTCAGAAATGGTAGAGAAGCTCTCAGGACTAAAGGTCTGTGTGTATTAAGAGTTTGGGTTACATGTTTAAATAAGACCTAAGAACATATTGCTTAGATTTCTGTATTCCAAAATACAGTGAAGAACTCAAGGTCTTAAGTGGTAAATGATGAATGCTATTTTTCATCATCTTAGAGAAATAAGTAGGATTCTTTTTAATTATATATATATAATATTTTAATTA